TTTTTTTTTTTTTTTTTTTAATTTCTCAGGAGCCCGACTTGTATTTTGGCGATCCTCAACAACTTCTCGACATCTTTGCTGAACTGGAAGAACAAAACTTATCCCTCATCCAAAACAGTCAAGAAACCGAAGAAGCTCTTGAGGAACTACGGCAGACGATCAAGCAAACACAAGAACGGATGTGAGTTCCTTGTTCCCTTCTCCTTCCTTGTTCTTTTATCGCTTTCTCCCAGACTTTCACTTTCAATTGATTTCGGTGACGTATCCGAGACGAACGGCTCCGGACCAAATGACCCGAAAAAGATTGACCACGGCGAATTATTGTGGCCTAGGAACTAGGCAAGGTTCCTTGCACTTCATTTTCTAAAAGTTCATTCAAAGTTTTCAATAGATGAATAGTTATAATTTCAAAGATAGGTTGATTCCAGCTAATCATGAGCGTTGATTATCATAAAAAGTCTTAATTAATTAGAGTGGCCTTTAGTCTAACGGAGTGCCTCATAACCAAAACCATAGTAATCACTCTGGCCAATCACAAAGGATACAGACAATCCAGTGAACACTGAAACAAAGCTCGAAGTCAATGCGTGGCGCTGAAAAAGCGCGGGAAAACGTGTGGGAGCGTGTCACAACTGGTTTTCGTTTTACTGCTGACTGGATGAAAACGTAAACCAACCGTGTTCAGTTACCGTGTTCAGTAGTAATGAAAAAACAATACTGCCTGTCGATACTATAGCGGTTTTCAAGTGAGTGTCGTAAAAACAAAACCAAAGTAATCACTCTAGCCAATCACAAAGGACAGAGACAACACAGTGAACCAATCAAAACTCCAAGGAATTACTTGTAGCTGACGGAAAGCGCGGGAAAACGTGTCCGGGTGAGTTACGATTGGTTTTGGTTTTACTTATGATATTTGAATGAAAAAGTGGCGCGAATTTTTAAGCCAATCATATAGCGTTATTGGATGCTGCGTTCACTGAAGTCTATTTTTGGTGTTGTTTTGGTCGTTGTTTCCAAAAACATTATTTCAATAAATTAAACTTGTGTCTGACAAAAAGCAAAACCGCCTAGGCTTGCAGGCTAAGTGTTAATTAAAAACCATTGTTTCTTCTTCGCAGGAACCGTGAAACTGAGATTCTCAAAGGTCAGATAGACTTCTTAAATGACGCTATCAACAGAGAAGAAGAGAGAGCCAAGGAACTAGAAATGAAATCAAAGTAAGGGTTACACTATAAGCAGTTTACATGAAGTGCAACCCCTTTTCAAAGTTGCACTTTTACGAACCTGACATCCCGATATAAATTTACAAATAGCTTCTTGAGATACAAGCGTTCTTTAAGGTAGTAATGAAGTAACGCCATTAATAATTGTTTTTAAAGTAATAATGCTGTGTTATTTTTCCGTCAATCCCCCAAACAGAATGTTTTCGTATGGTGAATTTAAAGCTGAAGATCAGGTAATATTATTTGTTCTGACAGTACTTGCTGTAACATTTTTCTCATGCAGAGTAGTTTCGGCCTAGACGACTTGTTCTCCATTTGATAATGTTCTTTGTTGCATTCTGTAAGTGTAGGCTGCAATCTTATGAATGCGGGTGCAATTGAGTATTAACACTACGAGTGATATTTGCAGGAGCCTTTAGGCGAATGCAATTTGAAAAAAATTTCAAATTTAACGGGTACCGTTGAACTTTCACATGACTGAGAAAATTACTAACACGTGCGCGTTAATTGGCACTGCAATGCAAATAAAGAATTAACGATAAATTAACAATAACAATGACATTTATTATTTGTATTGCGCCTTTTCTATAAAATATTCAAAAGCGCATCACAACAGTAATTAATAACTAAAATTTTACAAATCTTTCTATCAAAATC